TGAAATGTATATCAAGTATTTATAAACTTTGTTGACTATATTAATTGGAAAACAAGGTCTTCTAGTATCTGCTAAAAAGAAATTTGCATGGTGATCATTTAACATGCCTAACATTTGACATTTCTAGTCCAACCAAAGACGGATTTGGCTGCCACGAAACAGCTATTAGTGGCGTTAAACATCAACAAGAGTGCACATGCTGAAATGTCTCAGCTGCTTTACTGACCACTGATTTTACGTTGATAGTCCTAATTATAAAGCTTTACTACGAGTATCACATAAACTTAACATGATCCAAGAAAATGAGGTCAAGGTTAGATAAACCAAACTGGAAATACATGTACACCTTACAATCATTCCATACACCAAATATAGTTGACCTATTGCTTATAGTTTCTAAGTATCAAACTTAACCAGGAAAATTTAACATTGACCAATTAACCATGAAAATGAGGTCAAGGTCAGATGAACCATGCCAGACAGACATGTACATCTTACAATCAATCTATGCATTAAATATAGTTGACCTTTTGCTTTTAGTATCTAAGAAACACTTAACTATGAAAACTTAACATTGACCAATGAACTATGAAAATGAGGTCAAGGTCAGATGATGCCTGCCAGACAGACATATACACCTCACAATCATTCCATACACCAAATATAGTTGACCTATTGCTTATAGTATCTAAGAAACAAACTTAACCATGAAAACTTAACATTGACTAATGAACCATGCATATCAGGTCAAGGTCAGATGATACATGTCAGACAGACCTATACACCTTTCAATCATTTCATACACCAAATATAGTTGACCTATTGCTTATAGTTTAAGAAAAACAGACCAAAACACAAAAACTTAACACTGAGCAATGAACCGTGAAAATGAGGTCAACGTCAAATAAATCCTGCCAGACTGACATGTACATCGTAAAATATATCCACACATCAAATATACTTGACGAAAAACAGACCAAAACACAATAAAATGCTCTGCTGGGCGCAGCTTGATACGACCGCAGAGGTCGAACCCTGAACAGTTGGGGCAAGTATGGACACAACATTCAAGGTTGATACAGCTCTGAATTTGGATTGTGATTAAATATTTGACACAGCATAGGTTTCTGACACAGAATGAATGTGGTCTAAGAACTTTAATTTTTTTAATTTACCTATTATGGTGTAATATCCAAAATCTAAATACATGGTTAGATTCAGCATATCAAAGAATCCAAAGAATTCAATTTTTGATGATATCAAACAAAGTTTAATTTTGGACCCGTTTGACCTCAATGTGGACCAATTTGATAACTGGGCCCAAAAATCAAAATAAATGGTTAGATTCAGCATATCAATGAACCCCATATATTCAATTTTTGTTGAAATCAAACAAAGTTTAATTTTGGACCCCAACATGGACCAACTTGAAAACTGGGCCCATAATAAAAAATCTAAACACATGTTTAGATTCAGCATATCAAAGAACCTCAAGAATTAAAATTTTTGTTAAAATCAAACTAAGTTTAATTTTGGACCATTTGGACCTTAATGTAGACCAATTTGAAAACTGGACCCAAAATTAACAAGAGTGCACACGCTGAAATGTCTCGCCTTCTTTACTAATCATTGATATTATGTTGATAGTCCTAAATATAAAGCTTTATTACAACTGTCACATAAACTTAACATTAACCAAGTAAACTAAACATTGACCAATGAACCATGAAAATGAGGTCAAGGTCAGATGAACCATGCTAGGCAGGCATGTACAGCTAACAATTCTTCCATACAACAAATATAGTTGACCTATTGCTTATAGTTTAAGATAACAGACCAAAACACAAAAACTTAACACTGAGCAATGAACCTTGAAAATGAGGTCAAGGTCAAATAAAACCTGCGTGACTGCCAAATAGATCATAAAATATTTCCATACACCAAATATAGTTGAACTATTGCATATAGTATTAGAAAAAAAGACCAAAACTCAAAAAACTTAACTTTGACCACTGAACCATGAAAATGAGGTCATGGTCAGATGACACCTGCCCGCTAGACATGTACACCTTACAATCATCCATACACCAAATATAGTAGACCTATGGCATACAGTATAAGAAAAACAGACCAAAACACAAAAACTTAACTATAACCACTGAACCATGAAAATGAGGTCAAGGTCAGATGACACCTGCCAGTTGGACATGTACACCTTACAGTCCTTCCATACACCGAATATACAAGACCTATTGCTTATAGTATCTGAGATATGGACTTGACCACCAAAACTTAACCTTGTTCACGGATTCATAAAATGAGGTCGAGGTCAAGTGAAAACTGTCTGACGGGCATGAGGACCTTGCAAGGTACGCACATACCAAATATAGTTGAACTATTGCATATAGTATTAGAAAAAAAGACCAAAACTCAAAAACTTAACTTTGACCACTGAACCATGAAAATGAGGTCAAGGTCAGATGACACCTGCCCACTAGACATGTACACCTTACAATCATTCCATACACCAAATAAAGTAGACCTATGGCATACAGTATAAGAAAAACAGACCAAAACACAAAAACTTAACTATAACCACTGAACCATGAAAATGAGGTCAAGGTCAGATGACACCTGCCAGTTGGACATGTACACCTTACAGTCCTTCCATACACCGAATATACAAGACCTATTGCTTATAGTATCTGAGATATGGACTTGACCACCAAAACTTAACCTTGTTCACTGATCCATGAAATGAGGTTGAGGTCAAGTGAAAACTGTCTGACGGGCATGAGGACCTTGCAAGGTACGCACATACCAAATATAGTTATCCTATTACTTATAATAAGAGAGAATCTAACATTACAAAAAATCTGAACTTTTTTTTCAAGTAGTCACTGAACCATGAAAATGAGGTCAAGGACATTGGACATGTGACTGACGGAAACTTCGTAACATGAGGCATCCATATACAAAGTATGAAGCATACAGACCTTCCACCTTCTAAAATATAAAGCTTTTAAGAAGTTAGCTAACGCCGCCGCCACCGCCGGATCACTATCCCTATGTCGAGCTTTCTGCGACAAAAGTCGCAGGCTCGACAAAAATCTAAATACACGGTTAGATTCGGCATATCAAAGAAATAAATGTGGTCTACTTCTTGAAATTTTTCAATATTTGAAATTTGAAAAAAAAATAATATTTGAAGAATAATTTTTTTAATTTCTGAAATCTGAAATGAGAAAAAATTGACCCCCCTCAATTTCTCCCCCCCCCCCCCCCCCCCCCTCTTTTTCCCCCAAAAAATTCTTTCCCTCAAGATATGGTCATAATCTCAATTCAAATTTCCAATGGAGTTTGCAACCATAATTACCCATTTAAATTTACCATAGTGCTAACTTAAAGTAAAATAATAGAATTTAAAATATGGTGTCAAATCTTTCATATGGATTTTTTTGTAAAAAAATTATGCAACATTTGCAGATATTTTTACTGGTCTTCCTTTAAACATAATTTAAAAGCAGTGTAAGGGAGGTAATCAAAACGTTGTATTTAGATTACCTCCCTTACACTGCTTTTAAATTGTCTTAATTGTTCATTAACCATTACTTTATACATAATTTAAAAGCAGTGTAAGGGAGGTAATTCAAATGATGTATTTGATTTATCTCCTTTACACTGCTTTAAATTATGTTTTGTACTAAAATATTTGTCCATTAACCAGGACAACCTTGTTTTTCCCCCTTTTTTGCCCCTAATTCCTAAACGGTTTGAGCCATAACCCCCCAAAGCAAATCCTAACCATCCCTTTGTGGTATGGAAACTTGTGGTATAATTTAAGAGAGATCCATACACCGTTCCACAAGTTATTGTCTGGAAACTAGAAAATGCTTATTTTTGGCCCCTAATTCCTTAACTGTTGGTACCATAACCCCCAAAATCAATCACAACCTTCCTTTTGTGGTATTTAACCTTATGGTAAAATTTCATAGAGATCCATTCACTTAAACTAAAGTTATAGTGCAACAACCAATGTGTCTTCGGACGACGACGACGACACCAACGTCATACCAATATACGACCGCAAAAAAAGTCGTATAAAAACTTAGCTTTAACCACTAACCATAAAAATGATGTCAAGATCAGATGACACCTGCCAGTTGGACATGTACACCATTCAATCATTCCATACACCAAATATAGTAGACCTATTGCTTAAAGTATATGATATATGGACTTGACCACAAAAACTTAACCTTGTTCACTGATCCATGAAATGAGGTCGAGGTAAGATGAAAACTGTCTGACAGACATGAGGACATTGCAAGGTAAGCAAATACTAAATATAGTTATCCTATTACTAGTACTCATAATAAGAGAGAAATTAACATTACAAAAAATCTAAACTTTTTTTTCAAGAAGTCACTGAACCATGAAAATGAGGTCAAGGACAATTGACATATGACAGAAGGAAACTTCATAACATAAGGCATCTATATACAAAGTATGAAGCATCCAGGTCTTCCACCTTCTAAAATATAAAGCTTTTAAGTAGTTAGTTAACGCTGCCGCCAGATCACTATCCCTATGTCGAGCTTTCTGCGACCAGGCTTGACAAAAATCAATCAATCAATATAACAGATCTGAAATAAACATTTTAGACAAAAATAATCACAATTTTCTGACATATGGATTGAAGTTTGAACAAACTAGGGTAAATTATATACCTCTACTAATAAGAGAACCAAAACAGAATTATCAGGTGAAATTTTGTACTCTTGGTTTATTTTACCACATCTGATTAAAACAACCATTGTGGCTTTTATGTCAGATTATCAAACAGAAATCAAAGACTTGGTACATTTAAGCATTTTTTCTTGAACTCAATAGATCCTCAATATGGTTATTATATTGTTTCTTGGAATTATAATTCCAAAATCAATCCATCAATTATATTTATAACCAAGCATTGCAATATAAAAGATGAACAAATAATATAACAGATTAGTAAGATTTAATATGAATCATCAATATAGTCATTTCAATGTATTTACAAATCAAGTGCAAGTTCCTACTTCTAACTAAGTTAAAAATAGGATTGATGTCTGGAAAAGAATATGTACTAGTGCTTATCATATATATATATATATATATATATAAGTCTATGTAGTAAATGACAGTAGTCATGTATTATTGTACCTCATGTATAACAAAGCTGAATAATTGTTTACTCCTACTAAACTTATATAAATTTGGTTATCTGAAGAGGAAAAAACAGGAGAACATATACTTGAAGTCAAATTCCTTTTAAATGTATACAAAGGGTTATTTTTACCAAAAGGTTTTGATGATTATTATCATCAGCAACCCTGAAATTACCATACTGCATGTATAAGCTTCTATCAGAAGAGGGATGGTTGATTTTATTACTGATTTTCGAAAAATTCTTCAATACAAAATGAAAATGAATTAAAAATGCAAATGCATTACAGAACAAACAAATAATCAATGGAAAATGTGACTGTTAACAAAAAATTTCACCTTTACAACCAAATAAAAATCAGATGGCAATTTTTTTTTTCTCTAGATATTGTTATTATTATTAATACAACTTGTAGCAAAGTATGTATTTGTTTTTAGTAAAAAACTTAATAATCAGTTTTAAATACATTCATTTACATTTAAAATAAGTTAAAATTATGAAAGAAAACTACTAAAATCATGTTTAACACTGTTTGAAGAATTTGACCCAAATTGGTTTTACATATATCTAAAAGATGTACTTAGAATTTCATTTAGTACTAAGAACGACCATACATGGTGACCAAGATTAGCTTGTGCTGAATAAGTAAAGAGAACTTTAATACCAAGATTCATCAATTCTTTTTGTGGACTGAATCCTTGAATAAAAGATAACGGTCTTTTTAGCACTAGTCCGCATGCATAACTGATGAAATAAATGGCAGAAGTATGCATGGTACAGTTTAGCTTACATTACTCATTAAATGCTAGTCAATGGCAAGCTAGGCAATTGATCCGAGTCCTTGAGTATTTATATGTGTTTAAGAACATTGTATTTCTTGACACTATTTCCCCCAACTTATCATCTCTATTGTAAAAAACTTGCTTGGAATAAAACAATAACTCTTATAAAGCAAATAATATTAACAACTGTCTGTAGTAATATTAGATGTATACAGTTCATATTTATTGCAATTATTTCATTTCAAATTTGTGCAGAAAATCAAGACAAAAATAAAATTAATTATTAATCTTTTTAGAAGAGAATAATATTGTATGATTTAGCAAATCAATGTGCTATGATTATAGCTTACATGTATCTTAGTTATATTTTTCACCATTTATATTATTTCCTTCATACTTAAAGCATAACAATGAATTGTACAGGGATTTCATTGAGTCAGTGGCTGTAGATTAAAATATTGCATTCGAACTAAACAGAAGAAAATACAGAATTTCTTCTACAAACAATTTTGTTGAATTTCTACAAAACATGGTAAAATCAAACTTCAACGTTATTAAATTTACATTTTCATAATTTATTTATATGCATATTTAGAAGTTTTATCAAAATAAAACAAAATCAACAGATTAAGCTTATGAATTTATTGCCTTCCTCTTTTTTTAAATAACACAACAGCATATATTTTGTTGCTTTTTATAAGTCATCAAAGATTATTTTAATACAAAATGGATTCCTCTTAATTGCATAACCTTTGTGTCACTGAATTTAATGCAATAAACAGAAAAATTTGATAGCATGAAACAAAATACAGGTATTATTCACGTTTTTCTTTAGGAATTGTATGTACATTGTTAAATACACACTTAAGACATGAAAGAAGGCCTTGGTGTCAATACCTAGTTACAGTTGCAGCAAGTCTAAATTCTTCTTCACATTGCCCACTACACAAAGTTATGGAGCATGAAATATGAAAAGAGGTCATGTGACACATAAAACTAACAAGATATACCTAAGACTAGATATCCCACTAAGCATAAAATTTAATTGAGAAGTTAATAACAGAATTGGGCATTTTCTAATCTGCAAAAGTCAGGTTTTATTGAATGAAAATTCACAGGAATATCTTATACTTCACACAAAGTGAATTCATACAAATTGTAATTGACTGTTAGAGTTCTGAGCAGAGTCAGATTTCAAGGTTACACTGACATCTGATCTATTGATTAGTTCAAACTACTGAAGCTTGACTATGTGGTAGGATTCCACAAAATACATAAAATAGAATATGTTCAGGCATATTACATAGCAAAATTGCCAATAGTGTAACAAAATTACACAAAAATCATATATACCCCTATTGTATATAAGAGTTGTATAAGCACATGATGAGTATGGAGTTATAACTAACAGCATAAAAATTAGTAACTGATCTTCAAAAGTTCTCTTTGAAATCAACACTGAAGTCCTCAGCTAGAAAAAGACCTATATCATACCTCACAATTCTATGTAAAAGCCTCACAAAAAGTGTTTGTATACTAAAAAATATTTTGAACTTAATGGAACAGTTGTTATGTGATTAAAACATGATATTACAATTACCTGAGAAAAATGGCACATAATTGTGTAGGGTTATTCTCTTACAAATATTGTTTGTATTGTGAAGAACTTTTGTTTTCAAATGGATCAAAGCAAAACACTTTCTGATCCCGATCTCATATGCAAAATCCTAAGTTGAGTAGATTAACGAAATTAAAAGTTGCACTTCTATTGAAATTGCTGGTTAAGGAGTATTGAATTACATTGTACTACACTACAAAGGCAATAATAGCTACATGTTTTCTAATGAATCCTGACCATAAAAGGTCAAAGTTAAAAGATCTCTAAACTACAGTAACTTATTAGTTAACAAACTACCCACCCCTACTGTTAACTTAAACCCAATCCAGGAAGTTTTGGATCATTTAAAGGAAATAAAACCAGTAGTAGTCTAAAAATCTAATGAAATTTCGAAATTGTGATTGGCTTGTCCTTTACTGGGACCATTTTTTCATTTACCAAACATTATCATATATTCCTAGACAAAAGTCAAAGGTCCATAAAGATCTTACTAGTTTTCTCGCAAAAAAAAAAATGAATATATTAACAGAAAGTTTTCTTGAAATGGATAATACAAAGCAAAATTTGCTGAAATAACCTACACTTTCATGACTGAGTACATTAATTAAACAAACAAATAAAATACATCTTTACATGATATTCAAGTCAACACTGCCCTATGAAAAAAATCTACAAAATCTTGCAATATTCAATCCACGATTCATTCTGTCACTAAATGTTCATCTTCACCCAGAACAGTCTTGGAAATATCTTCACATCATGTGCAATAATCAACATAAATAAAATTATACAAGGCACTGAAGTCCATGTACAATGAGATCTGTTATCTAACTATAGGGTGCCATTACGTCATTTCCAGTGTCGATCGATGGTATGGCTGGGACAAAGATGACATTTTATTGTTGGAAGGCTTCAAGGATTTGGTGACACGAATTGAATCTGGAAATCTACTATGATAAAGCTCTAGCCGCAGATATTTAACTGTTACTAAACGACCTGTCAATTATAAAGTAGATACAATTTAAAAATATGTTTTGTTAATAATACATGTAGATATCACTCTCTTAGTTATACAAGATACTTGAGTAAATGTCTGCCGAATTATCAGAAAATTCTTCATTTGGAGCAAAATTATCATTCAGGTTTATGGTAACGTTAAGTGTTTTAGCAAAACCTGACCTTGAAAGGTGGGAGTAATTGAAAAGCTGCATGACAATCACAATTTCCTCAGTAACATAGCGTGAATGTAAAATCATTGACATGGTGACATCAAAAGAATATTATATATTGGTATGCTCAAGACATTTTTGTTACAATTTGTACAGATACCATTTTTGTGTATAAAGGAAAATTGCTTCTGGGTTAGGGAAAACACAACAGTTAACCGTTGTAAAAGGATGAGGTATGATAAGGTCACTTTTTGGGCTCTTGAATTTGAAAATCAAAAAAGTATTATAAATCTTCCAAAAAACATCCTTCAGGAGTTCATCAAACACAAGTCTGGTAGATGTCAAGTTAGTAATGAATTTTGTTTCACATATTGGCACACAGGCTTCAAACTTCTTACATTTAATGCAAAACAACAAAAAACTCCAAAATGAGCCCCTATTTGAAATCTTGAAATCAATTTTTAGATAAAAGCTTTACCAAAAAAGATAGTTTGCTACAAAATGTTTTTTTACAAAGAAGTTAATGTGTGTAGAATATCTTATAAGGTAAAAGTGTTTTTCTTATTTTTTTTTCTCAAAAACTACCAGTTGAATAACCATTTTAAGGTCAAATATGTAAATTTTGACCACTTATGTCATCATAGTGACATCACAAGTGACCTTTATGCACTAAAGTGTCCATTTGTTAAATAAGTTTATTATTTTTGCAATTTCAGGGGGAAACAATGGCTCTAATCATACTTCCTCCTTTACTACAAACACTGGCTTTAAAGGTTGGTTTGAAGAATCATCTTTCATAAATTTAATATTAACACCAAAGTTATGCTACAAGTCATGTTTGGTTATTGCAGATGTTGCAATTACAAGAGGCTTTTTTTTAATCATCTCTAAACTATAGACAGCTTGTCTTGGAATCCTTTTTCTGAGTAAGTTAACCATGAAGATATAATAGATTTAATAAATGTAAGATGTATATACCAAATGTAAATTTCAGACAAACTGGTAAATACCTACAAAATATGGACAGTTTTGTTCTGAAACTCTGATATAAAGCTGTCATCACTGCTCACACAGAAGTATAGCTGTCTATTTTACCTAAAAGTAGGAAGCAACAAGTATTCTGTTCGGTCTCTTCAGTAAGAAAAGACACTTCCTCGGAAACTTACCATCAAACCACCATCCATGTAAAGATTTGTAGACTTTGTAAGCCACTTCACAGCTTCCACATTTCATGTACACACAGCCCTACAATTGAAACAACACTCCAATATAATGACTCTAATCTTCAAATTCATCAACACCACCTTTAAAAGCTTTGGTTCTGGGTAAAGGGGATAATATCACTTTACAAATAAAAATCATTTTCAGGTGTATGACTCAAATGTATCTTATTAATGGATTTTTAACTATCATAATCAAAATGATGGGTAACAGAAGTGAAGCAAGAACTGCCTATCCTTCAAAACCACCTGAGTTCACTCCCTGTTTTTGGTAAGGTTTGTATTGCTCAAAGTTTTCTGAATTGTGTTTTGAAGAATGATGTTTCACTTTTTGTATTTTTCTTGAAGTAATCTGTCTTCCTTCCACTGATGCCTTTTGATCGCTCTCTTGGTACCCTTTTTTTTACTTATTTACCTTCTGTAAAACTTTTGATCTGAGGATTTGTTTTACTTTCGTCTTAAATTATGTATGGCTTTTCCATAACCACCTGTATTTTATACTTTCTGTATCATATGAGATTTTACATATATGAAGATACCATGTCTCAATCTAGTTAATCAAAAATATTTTATGCCTGAAATGATATCAACTCTTTAATTTCTTAAGTTCATCTTCGTCTTTTATAAATTCATTGCAATCATTGATTTCAAATGTTCTCATTGTTGTAGTATGAATAAACTTATCTTGAAAATATGTTTTCATTAGCAATAATGAATACAGTACAAAGTAATTACATTCTTAATGTGTGTAAAATTTTACTTTCGTTGTACACCATGTGCTTTTCACTCGTGTCATTCATAAGATTTTTGTATGGCCTGCAGCCAGAGTATTTTTCATATTACTAATACTAAATACAATCCATATCAAATAATATGTACCTCTTTAGAAGTATCATCTACATGTATGTGTAATATACCAGTTATTCCTCTACATTTCTCTAGAATGGCATCTTTCACGTTCTGTTCCCAGTCTTCCTCTATTTCCCTGAGAAATTAATTCATTTCATAAAGTATTTACATTTTTATTTCTTGACAAAATCACTATTGACTAATGTCCCATATGCTATTAATAGAACTATCAAATATAAATTGTAAGGCAGATGTCATTTAAACAGAACAATTTTTTTCAGATAACTATGGCAATAATAATTTTCAATGTGAACTATCTTAAAACATTCATTATATTCTAGCCTAAATAATGTTGCCCAAGTATAAACACAGCTGAGAGATGATATTTATAACCATTGCATTAGAACAGTCAAGTTGGAAAGGCGTATGTATCTTGAATCAAAGGGTTCGGAAACGGCCATATTTGCCAGTCATGACCTAAACTGAAAGGTCATTGTACGGAATGGTAGATTGGGTTTAGGTCAACTTTTATTTTTTTAAAAGCAATAATTTCAATCATTTCATTGAGATCAGGTTTCTTAATCACCATTTTTCATTTAATTTTGTTTTGAAATTCTTTTCCAGTAATAAAACTGCCACTCCAGTATAGTATGATAATCCTGAGGACCCTTCTAATAACCATATTAATGCCTCCGGGAGTTATTGGCTAATGATCTCTAATCACCTGTGTTCTTCATACCTGACAGTAGTGATCAAGCTCAGAACTAATATTTTTAAGAAATTCTATCCCATTACAATAATAATAATACAGAATGGAAACTAAAAATTTTTGCAATCTTTCGATTTATAAAGGGGCACAACTCAATAATGGTTAAAGTGACACTACCCAAATTCTACTTGATCTGTGTTTTATCAGTGGAAGTCAAAATTAAACATTGCATTGTATAAAGCATTGATTGTAGATGATTCAACTATAATCATGGACAAAAGAAGATAACTCCAATTTTAAAATTACTTGATATTTAGAAGAAAATAAAAATTTTGCAATTTTTCCATTTATAAAGGGGCATTACTCTAGAACGGTATAAGTGACACCACCAAAATTCAAACTTGATCTGTGTTTTGTGGTAATAAGCATTGTGTATAAGTTTCATAATATTTGGTTGAGGCAAACTAAAGTTAGAGAACGGAAACCACTTTTGGGACATGTACAGACGGACGAGGGTAAAACTTAATGCTCCCTCCACTACGGCGGGGGCATAAAAACAATGAAATGCAAAATGATTTAATGCTAAATTAAACAAGTTAAACTATTAATTGTTATATTTAAACACTTTTACAGGTAATAACATTAAAAATACAATGATATCCTGTCATATGAACAGAACAAATCAGTAAATGAATCCTGACATAAGAGTAGGAATTCACTTACATATCTGCATCAAACATGTTCCTAATCTTCAGACATGGAGTAGGGCCATAATGTAGACTAGTTGATGGTGACATATTGTTCTCTCCGAAGGCTGTAAAAAGTAAGTAGTACATACATTATTTAACACTGTACTTTTTAATGAGCTTTCAAGTATAATTGAATTTATTTTTACTTTAATCTTTTTCTGTTCATATTTATCAATTCTATATACTGTCGATTCAGAAATTATTGCATGGTTTTTATTATTTTGAATAATGCGACTGGGTGAGTATCGCAATAATAAGAACTCGAATTCTAATATCTGATACATATATTAGTATGCAGATTTTCCTGAAATCACAATAATTATTCTTGCATTTTCAAATAAACTGTTAATACAGAGATATGTCTCGCCTATTCGTTATTTTGATAATGCAAATGTTGAAATTAAAATAGCAATACTTTAACATATAAGTTATGAAAATATTCAAAGTCAATGAACCATGACTGAAGGTACAGGGCTAAACAATCTCCATGGAAATGAGATGTGCCAATGCTAATACAACTGCAAACCAAATACCATTGACTTTTCATAAGTCCTTCCCTTTAAACAAACCTAAACACAAACATTAACTTGTAAACTATGCAAAAGTTTCAAAGTCAATGAACCATAATTAGGGGGTGGGGTTATATAATCTCCATGGAAATGAAACTTGGAAATGCCCGAATATCATTGACTTAACATTAGTGGTTCATCTTAAATTGACCTAATCACAAACTAATACATGTACACTAAGCAAAAGTTTCAGTCAATAGACCATGACTGAGGGGTAAGGACCAAATATTCTCCATGGAAATGAGATGTGCTAATGCTTATACAACTGCATACCAATTATCATTGACCTACCACTAACAGTTCCCCTTAAACTGACCTAATCACAAACTAATACATGAAAACTAAGCAAATGTTTCAAAGTCAATAGACCATGAATGAGGGGGGGGGGGGGGGGGGGGGGGCAAATAATCTCCATGGAAATGAGATATGCCAATGCTTATACAACTGCATACCAAATATCATTGACCTACCACTAGTGGTTCCCCATAAACTGACCTAATCACAAACTAATACATGTAAACTAAGCAAAGTTTCAAAGTCAATGTATGAGGGGACAGGGCCAAATAATCTCCATGGTAATGAGATGTGCCAATGCTAATACAACTGCATACCAAATATCACTGACCTACCACTAGTGGTTCACCATGAACTAGACCTTATCACAAACTAATACATTGTTGACGCCACCGCTGACGCCGGAAACAGCATACCTATGTCTCGCTTTTTGATCCGTCAAGGCGAGAAAAAGATTGCAATAATAAATGCACGCAATAATTTCTGAATTTACAGTAACAAATTCATATGCTTCTCTTAAGGATTTAAGTCTCTTCAATTTTAAAGGACTGATATTGTGGTTTTGTGGTTACGTGCTGGCCTCTAACTATAAGTTTGATCCCAAGCTGTGACAAACCAAAAACTCAATAACTGGTTAAAAAATTCATCATGTTCTTTTATGTATCAAGATATGAGATGTTCACTTTCTTAACTAATGACAGTACCAACATATGAAAGTAAAACAGATTTCTCAAAGAATAAAATTCAATTCAATGTTGCACCCAATAAATGTTTAATTTCAAAATTAAAAATTCTATTACATACCTTGTCCCTGCCAAACTTTGCCACCATTAGATATTGTCTAAAATTAAAGAAGGTAACATTTCAGTAACTTAATGTCAAATCAGTTTTGGTGCTCATGGTGACTTCATGTTGTAGACTTTATTTCAAGTTATATGACACCAACCTTTTAATTGTCCCATCAAAAATTCATTCTTATCAAGATTAAGTTTCTAGTGCCATATGACTGTGAAAATGTTCTTGAAGTTAATAACAGTATAAATGTTCACTGTTCAGTGCTCCAGCTAGAAATTGAAAGGGGCCGGGTGCCATTGGAGGGCAGGGCACTTTTTTATGATAGGAAAAGGCACTGCTCATTTTTTTTGTCTATGTTTCTGTGTGTATCACGAGTTCACATTGTTTTTTTACTGTATATGTTGACAATAAAGATAATAAGTTGTTGTTTTGATTATTTATTCTATAAAATTTGCATTAGAAAAGTCATTCATACTACATGTTCATAATACATGGCAATACACGTTCATACATCACATCACTATTAACCAAAAGAGTCAAAATAACTATAACTATAACCCCCCCTCCAAAAAAAACCCAGCATAAACTAAACATCTCATGTTTTAGAGTTGTCTCATTTAAAATTTTCAGCTAGAGTTTGGCCCTCTCAACTTTTTTCATTATTCCTGTCAATGAATTATTTAGTATAACTTCATCCAATTAACTTGTCATGATAGTTTAGCTAGTCCTAACTCGATTTTTGTAGGATTACTGCTTAACAACTTTCACCAGATATAATTATAATCTAAATTGACAATGTCTAGATAGAACATGGATTGATAAAAGTATGATTATCAAAAATGAATTGCAATATATTTTTTTTGGTATGTTCTAAGACAGTTTTGATCTTTAAGGTAACATTCTTATATAATTTTGTATTTAATTAGTACTTTATTCCTATTTTCAAAGATAGATAATATTTTAGCACAAATTTGTAATAAGCTAAAACAGGGGAAGTAACTCCAAAATTAATTTCCAACACGTTTACGATGAAGTTGAGATGATCGGTGTTTCTGTGAAGGCATAGTTGTATTTTGATGACTTAAATTCTATACTAAAGTCATGAAAGTCTTCATTTTTACACTCTTCCATTGGGACTTGGAGATCGAAAATGCCGACCCAAGCTTAAAACACTCGCCGACACATTCATCAATTTATATTCAATTTGACTAGGTACATTGTCTTAATTAAATTACCTAGTTATTAACACCTTTGAAGTCTAATCAACTGTAATTGAATTTAATGACATGATTAACCTGGGGGCAATCACCAGGTGTAATATATGTAATTTAACTTTGTGATTAGAAATCGATGAGACAAAAAGCAATTTTACCAGTACATTGCCAAAACGGCACAAGGGTTTTTTGGGAAAAGGCGTCAGGGCAGAAGGGCGCGGATTAGGGCACCCAGGGCGCAGCGCCCTTCTATTTTGGGCTAACGAGACCACTGCTGTTGATGACTTCAGTACAGGGAATCAACAAACTATCTTTTTGTATATAAACCAGGCCGTTAGATTTCTCGTCTAACTGTTTTACATTTGTCATTTCTGGGCCTTTTATAGCTTACTTTGCAGTGGGGGTTTTGCTCATTGTTGAAGGCCTATCGTTGTTAACTTCTAAGTCATTTGGTCTCTTGTGGACAGTTGTCTTATTGGCAATCATACCATATCTCCTTATTTTTATATGTACATCATCTACAAGAAATGCTTAAGATGGAAACTTGTCTTATGTACATCATCTACAAGAAATGCTTAAGATGGAAACTTGTCTATTTTTGAACACCATTTGTTGATTTTTAATTATCATTTTCGTGTCATAGGGTTGCTATCTCATAAACCTATATCCTACATCCTCAGTTCATTCATAATACTTTTATCAACTCTGGAATGGCATCAGTGAGTCATAATGTTAAGATTTGTATTAGATCAACTCAATCAAACTGAATTTATCATACAACTTATAAGATATGGAAGGATGAGCAATGGTATTCAAAAGCAGACTGTCTCAAAACAACAAGTTCCACATATACAATGGAAATATCAAATTTCTCATCAAAATTTATCAGTAAAATATCTTACTGGAAGCCATTTCCAGACCAGAAATTCTTCTCCTTGTATGGACTGGGATTCAACTCGGATCCTGGACTCATTAGCTTCAATGAATTTTACAGCTTTTTCCCATATAGGCAGGAGCTTCTTTCTAAAACAATAAAAAGTATAATGATCTGCTAATTTCAGAAAATGAATCAAGCACTCAAACAAAAATAAATGGAGAATGTGTCCATGGGACACAGATGATGCCCCGCTTGCATATAATGTTATAATGGGACATTCGTTTGATGTGTTTGAGCTTTTAATTTTGCCATTTGATAAGGGACTTTCCGATTTGAATTTTCCTTGGAGTTCGGTATTTTTGTTATTTTACTTTTTACATAACTCAAGAGCGGTAAAAGTGACGCCACTCAAATTCAAACTTCATCTGAGTTTTGTGGTAATAAACATTGTTTATAAGTTTCATAAAATTTGGTTGAGGCAAACTTAAGTTAGAGAATGGAAATGAAAAATTCAGTGATTTTTTTCCATTTGTAAAGGGGCATAACTGAAGAACGGTAAAAGTGACCCCACCCAAATTCGAAATTTGATCTGAGTTTTGTGGTAATAAGCACGTACCGACGGACAAGGGTAACACTTAATGCCTCCTCCGCTGTGACGGGGGCATAAAAATGTCCGAAAATCTTATCATGTAGCATGAAAACAAGTATGGTAACACCATTGTTTCTTTTTAAGCACTTTATGAAAGCTGTCTGTTAACACTGTATCAAACTTCTATTCTTAACTTTTCTTCTTATTAAATCATAGAGCTTTTTCAAGTAAAATTCTGAAGACTTCTAAACAGCCTGTATCTTGATATAGTACAGTGTCCTATTAAGGCTAGTACATTTTAAACAAGAATGTGTCCCCACTCACACTATCAGCCGATCGTGCGAGGGCTGTATAGCCAGTCAAGGTCGTTAAAAACTTCCATCATCAACTCCCACTATCATTTTCTATGTTCAGTGGACCATGAAATTGGGGTCAAAACTCTAATTTGGCATTAAAATTAGAAAGATCATATCATAGGGAACATGTGTACTAAGTTTCAAGTTGATTGGACTTCAACTTCATCAAAAACTACCTTGACCAAAAACTTTAACCTGGAAAACTTTAACCTGAAGCGAGACAGACTGACGAACGGTTGGACGATACGAACGAACAAACGGACGAACGACCACAAACCGATACACAGACCGAAAAACATAATACCCCTAGGTGGGGCATAAAAAATACCCCACAAAAAATCTACATTTTGGTGAAGTATTTAAAAACAAGAGTGCACACGCTGAAATGTCTCGCCTTCTTTACTAATCATTGATATTATGTTGATAGTCCTAAATATAAAGCTTATTACAACTGTCACATAAACTTAACATTAACCAAGTAAAACTAAACATTGACCAATGAACCATGAAAATGAGGTCAAGGTCAGATGAACCATGCTGGGCAGGCATGTACAGCTAACAATTCTTCCATACAACAAATATAGTTGACCTATTGCTTATAGTTTAAGAAAAACAGACCAAAACACAAAAACTTAACACTGAGCAATGAACCTTGAAAATGAGGTCAAGGTCAAATAAAACCTGCGTGACTGACAAATAGATCATAAAATATTTCCATGCACCAAATATAGTTGAACTATTGCATATAGTATTAGAAAAAAAGACCAAAACTAAAAAAACTTAACTATAACCACTGAACCATGAAAATGAGGTCAAGGTCAGATGACACCTGCCAGTTGGACATGTACACCTTACAGTCCTTCCATACACCGAATATACTAGACCTATTGCTTATAGTATCTGAGATATGGACTTGACCACCAAAACTTAACCTTGTTCACTGATCCATGAAATGAGGTCGAGGTCAAGTGAAAACTGTCTGACGAGCATGAGAACCTTGCAAGGTACGCACATACCAAATATAGTTGAACTATTGCATATAGTATTAGAAAAAAAGACCAAAACTCAAAAACTTAACTTTGACCACTGAACCATGAAAATGAGGTCAAGGTCAGATGACACCTGCCCACTAGACATGTACACCTTACAATCATTCCATACACCTAATATAGTAGACCTATGGCATACAGTATAAGAAAAACAGACTAAAACACAAAAACTTAACTATAACCACTGAACCATGAAAATGAGGTCAAGGTCAGATGACACCTGCCAGTTGGACATGTACACCTTACAGTCCTTCCATACACCGAATATACTAGACCTATTGCTTATAGTATCTGAGATATGGACTTGACCACCAAAACTTAACCTTGTTCACTGATCCATGAAATGAGGTCGAGGTCAAGTGAAAACTGTCTGACGGGCATGAGGACCTTGCAAGGTACGCACATACCAAATATAGTTATCCTATTACTTATAATAAGAGAGAATCTAACATTACAAAAAATCTTAACTTTTTTTTCAAGTAGTCACTGAACCATGAAAATGAGGTCAAGGACATTGGACATGTGACTGACGGAAACTTCGTAACATGAGGCATCCATATACAAAGTATGAAGCATCCAGACCTTCCACCTTCTAAAATATAAAGCTTTTAAGAAGTTAGCTAACGATGCCGCCGCCGCCACCGCCGCCGGATCACTATCCCTATGTCGAGCTTTCTGCGACAAAAGTCGCAGGCTCGACAATAAAGAATGTGTCCATGGGACAAAGATGCCCGTTGGTAAATATACGGTGAATTCTGCAATTTTTCAATTTACAAAGGGACATAACTCAAGAACGGCTAAAGTGACCCAACCCAAATTCGAAACTTGGTTTGTGTTTGGTGGTAATAAGCACTGTGTATAAGTTTCATAACATTTGGTTGAGGCAAACTCAAGTTAGAGAAAAGAAACTAATTTTGGGACGTACGGACAAACAGACAGTCATGGGTAAAACTTAATGCCCCCTCCCTTGGGGCACGGCTTAAAAATCTTTATTTTCTTATTTATTTTCCCTTTACTGCCTTAACAGCAATGTCAACTTTTGGTAATTTTTTAGAAAAATAAATGTGATTGTATTTTATAAATTATAATTGTGAAACATATCTTTTTTTATTCAATTTTTACTTCTATTTTTTTAACTTCATGTGTGCTCCCATGGTGTGTCTTGCAGGGCTCACACTACTTCAAAATCATAGAGAGAAGTGACTTCTCTTTTAGAAACTGAGAGGGAGAAGTGGTGAGATTTGAAAGAGAAGTGCTCTTTTGCTCGCGGCACTACAATGATCGGTTTTTACTATAATACAAAGGGCCATATGTATCTTATTTTTTTATTTTGTTCAATTTGTACCTGGGAATACAATAAAAGTAACAGTTAATATTCAAAGTTGTTTAATTTTATCATATCTGATTGCACAATCATATAAGTCCTCTTGTCAGAAAAAAACAGTTAAATATCTAGCAATAATAAAAAAAGATTTTTTTCATATCAAAAAGGAAAAGAAAGTTGTTATATCAACTCAAATTCAATTTAAAATGTATCATGTTTATGAAATTCAGTGTTTCTCATTAAAAAGTTATATAAATTAACACAGTCAAGCTTGGACATAGTATAATAGTCCCAGAGATGAGCAATTTTAATTTATGAATTGAAACAATGCATATACATGGAAATATATAGTTACATTAATAAAGTAGATCTAACCAAAAGTATGTTTATGCGCGTGGAATGCGTAATTTTTTCCTTTTGGGATCAATATTCCTCTGTCAGTTGTGCCATTTATTCGTCCAGATTTCGGTCATAGCTGGTCCGGTACCAATCAGTAGTTTACAAATATTTCAATGGGGGAAGAAGAAAAATTTACAAAAATAAACGATGTTTGACACGCTATTTGGAAAGGAATATGACGTTTTTAATGCAATACATTGATAACAAATTTACTTCAGGCAAATTTCATCACGTTCTAATGAAGTAACAAACTTATTTTGCCGAAATTTAGAATGATTTGATTTGTTTTTATGAAATAACATGCAACCAACTTTAAAATCAATGCTTTAACCTCTTTTCTGAAGAAAATAAATCGTTTAAGTCTTTGAATTTCTTTACTTTTAAATGAAAAATTGCTGTTTCATCGACTTGGTAACAATTGAATATTGCTGATGACGAAAGCGACTGAAAGCAAGTATTGTAAACAACTGGGCGACTAGATTTCGCTTTTGACGGTCGGGCAAAGCAAAGTGACAGCCGGGAAAGCGACTTTGTCGCCTCAGTCGCATGGTAGCGTGAGCCCTGGTCTTGGCCCCTAAATATGACATGAGCTTTACCCCTTTCAAAACAAAATAACTTATTTTTGTCTCAATAAATGTGTGAGTCTGTTTTTCAATGGAGTATAAACAATGTTAATAATTATTACTGAAATGTCTCATATTTATTTATGGTTACATCACAGGAAGTCAATAGGTCATCTGGACAGACAACTTCTATAAAACTTTTTGAGCACCCTGTTGGAACATTCCTTAAGAAGGCAAACTTTTTGAACATCTTTGTGCAATGATGTTTCACAGACACATCAGGAAATTGAGAATTAAATACAGGTAGAAACATTACCTGTTCTGATTTCTTTTTTGGAACAGGTTGGTGGAATTTCTGCCTTTGAGGGCATACTAATATATCACATAAATGAAAATGACTATCATCTGTAATGGTCTGATTTGTAAATGATTTCATTTTCTAGAGATAGCAGTGCAATACATAGGTATTTTCTATTGGTTTTGGTGACCTGTTTGGTGTTATTGTTTTTATTTCTCCTGTAATACTGCTTGACATATTTCATGATTCCATCAACTATGACAAAAGGTATATATTTTTTTTTCACATCTGCTAAGGTACATATATAGCTTCAACATCTTGTAATTTCATTTGATACAATGCTAAGAAATTGTAATTAACTTTTCATCAATTAACAAACTTGTTTACCTTTTTGATATAGGTAAGTTATCAACTTTCTTTCAATTAACAAACTTGTTTACTTTTTTGATATGGGTAAGTTATCAACTTTTCTTCAATAAACAAGCTTGTTTACCTTTTTGAAACAGGTAAGTAATTAACTTTCCTTCAATTAACAAACTTGTTTACCCAGAGATGCCAACCCCATTGTATGTCAATTAGGAGTAATAAAGTCGCGAAGCTTCTTTCACACCTTACGGCCAGGGGTCTGGGGCATGCTCAAGGGCCCCAGAAGCTCTAGGGGTTAATGAAGCAAAATCCTGCATTCTAGGCCTCTCCTGGCATATAATTTCCACTTTTAAATAGAGTGTTTTTATATTCAAATTTATCTTGATCAACATGAAATATTACTCAGTGTGAAAAAGGTCTCTCCTGCAAGTTTGATGTCATTCACTGCATCTCAATAATGACTTGTGTGTACATTTGGATACTCAATCATAGCAACTTCAAGCCCCATAAGCAATAGTATATGTATACTCTACCTTAGGGGCTTGAGGTTGCTTTGATCAAGTATCCAAATATACACACAAGTCATTATTGAGTGAGATGTAGTAAAAGACATCTGGAAATTAGATGCTTAATCAAAATTTCAGTTTTCCAGGATGCTACAAGATTTTTTTTGGGAGACCACTGCTATAATACCCTGCATACCAGTTACAGTGAAAAATGTAAAACCCCTTCTAACACCTTTACAAATACAATGTAAAACCATAATTTAAAACTCACAAACTCATAGTTTAATGATGCTCATCCTTTATAAAAATCAATTCTGGTTTAAGAGAAAATGCACTTTATAAGATAGCTGCATATGTATGTACATGTATGTTATGTATGTTAACAAACAACATAGAAAAGTTGATTCATACAATAATTTGATCATTGCAAAATTAGTTCAACATGTTATAAGCAGCACTTTTGCATTGTAATATTACAGTAGGCAAAGGTTTCCCCCCTAATGGAGGTCTGGAAACACGGGTATAGAAGCTTGTGTTCCTCTTTGAATCGCTGATTGTGTTCAATTTTTCTCTTTTTAGCCGGAGCAGCCATTCTTTTATACTGGTCAAAATCAGACGAACGCTTTCCGGATTTTAAAAAAATCAGAGTTTAGCATAGCGATCCATATCAGTAAATCATTTCGGTTGAATAATCGGGGGAAATCCGCCAAAATCGGGGTGGTTGGCATCTCTGGTTTTCCTTTTTGATATAGGTAAGTTATTAACTTTTCTTCAATTAACAAACTTGTTTACCTTTTTGAAACAGGTAAGTAATTAACTTTCCTTCAATTAAAAAACTTGTTTATCTTTTTGATATAGGTAAGTTATTAACTTTCCTTCAATTAACAAACTTGTTTACTTTTTTGATATAGGCAAGTTATTTTCCTTCAACTAACAAACTTGATTACCTTTTTGATATAGGTAGTAGTTGATCTCGTACATGTTGAATAGCCATAAATGATGGTACATTACTTTCTGCTTCACTTGCTTCAAAGTTGTCTTTAATGACGTCTAGAAAATATAATATTAAATAACATATGATTATATGTGAAATACCATACATGTTAATGATTAATTCATGGCTTTTTACTATAGGAAACAAGATGTTTCCATAGGACATCATGCTTCACTCACAATATCACATTTCCATGTTAAGTCAACCAGGAATTTGGGAAAAACTTTAATTTGGCAATATATCTTAAAAAGTTTATACAATGAACAGATGAACATGCGTAATAAATATCAAGGACCATAACTCCATGATTAACTACCTTAAACCATAATTTTAACTTGGTATGCTACAGAAGAATGGATGGATCTACAGAATTAACTTACTGTTGTAGCCTAATGTAAAAACATAATTTTCCACAACATAAGCCTTAATATCCCTCATGGTCTCTTAGTAAGAGTTTTATTGAAATATTTGTGATTATATACATACAGGTATACAAGAAAATAAGCAAATATCATATTGAAGTTGATTTTGGAAATATTGACTAAAGCAACTAGATAATTAATGTCAGAAAGGACCCCTTGCACATTTTGATGAGGCAACAATGTTATTCAATCCATGAACACCTCTATCAAACTTAAAAATCAATTTATAACTTTTAAAACGATGAATGGAAAATCTAGTGGCAAAAATTACCTCCCATGCAAACAATAATAATCAGGTTCATTGACTTAATATTTTGCATTTTATACACGGTAAATCTATTGCTATTTTAATTTCAACATTTGCATTTTACTATCAAAATTACAAACTAGAGCCTGTGTCGCTCACCGTGGTCTATGTGCATATTCAACAAAGGACACTCTTTAACATTGTAGACAAGAATAGAATTCATGACAAAAATCTAAGTGTTGTTGATCTTGTATTGCTGATCATTTAGTCTGTTTAGTTTCTCTCTATCTTTTTAAGTTTTTGCTCAAGACACAAATTATTTAACGGCAATCACTCCTATAAAGAGTGACAAGTTTACTAACTATATCAGCAAAATTTGACTTGTTAGTAGATCTTGCCTTGCTGATCATTTTTGTGATTTGAATGTCTATTTCTCTATTAGAATTTTTATCATATCAGTCAAGACGCAAAAAAAATGATAATAAAATGCTTCGCTGGGGCGCAGCTTGATACGACCGCAGAGGTCGAACCCTGAACAGTTGGGGCAAGTATGGACACAACATTCAAGCTTGATACAGCTCTGAATTTGGATTGTTATTAAATATTTGACACAGCATAGGTTTCTGACACAGAAAGAATGTGGTCTAAGAACTTGAATTTTTTTAATTTACCTATTATGGTCCAATGTCCAAAATCAAAATACATGGTTAGATTCAGCATATCAAAGAACCCCATATATTCAATTTTTGTTAAAATCAAACAAAGTTTAATTTTGGACCCCAACTTGGACCAACTTGAAAACTGGGCCCATAATCAAAAATCTAAACACATGTTTAGATTCAGCATATCAAAGAACCCCAAGAATTCAATTTTTGTTAAAATCAAACTAAGTTTAATTTTGGACCCTTTGGACCTCAATGAAGACCAATTTAAAAAACGGGACCCAAATTAAAAATCTAAAAACACGGTTAGATTTGGCATATCAAAGAACCCCAATAATTCAATTTTCGATGAAATCAAACAAAGTTTAATTTTGGACCCTTTTGACCTCAATATGAACCAATTTGATAGCGGGGCCTACAAATAAAAAATCTAAATACATGGTTAGATTCAGCATATCAAAGAACCTCATATATTCAATTTTTGTTGAAATCAAACAAAGTTTAATTTTGGACCCCAATTTGGACCAACTTGAAAACTGGGCCCATAATCAAAAATCTAAATACATGTTTAGATTCAGCATATCAAAGAACCCCATATATTCAATTTTTGTTGAAACCAAACAAAGTTTAAATACTGGACCCTATCTTGGACCAACTTAAAAACTGGGCCCATAATCAAAAATCTAAACACATGTTTAGATTCAGCAAATCAAAGAACCCCAAGAAATCAATTTTTGTCAAAATCAAACTAAGTTTAATTTTGGACCCTTTGGACCTCAATGTAGACCAATTTAAAAAACAGGACCCAAAATTAAAAACCTAAATACACGGTTAGATTTGGAATATCAAAGAACCCCAATAATTCAATTTGAGATGGAATCAAACAAAGTTTAATTTTGGACCCTTTTGACCTCAATATGAACCAATTAGATAACGTGGTCCACAATATAAAATCTAAATACATGGTTAGATTCAGCATATCAAAGAACCCCATATATTCAATTTTTGTTGAAATCAAACAAAGTTTAATTTTGGACCCCAATTTGGACCAACTTGAAAACTGGGCCAAAAATCAAAAATCTAAATACATGTTTAGATTCAGCATATCAAAGAACCTCATATATTCAATTTTTGCTAAAATCAAACAAAGTTTAATTTTGGACCCTTTGGACATTAATGTAGACCAATTTGAAAACTGGACCCAAAATTAAAAATCTAAATACACTGTTAGATTCGGCATAACAAATAAATAAATGTGATCAAAGATTTTACAAATCTAATGCGCCATACTGTGCAATTAAAGATTACTTCTTGAAATTTTTCAATATTTGAAATTTGAAAAAAAAATAATATTTGAAGAATAATTCTTTTTAATTTCTGAAATCTGAAATGAGAAAAAATTGGCCCCCCACAATTTCTTTTTATCCCCCCCCCCCCCTTTTTCCCCCAAAAAAATTCTTTCCCTCAAGATATGGTCATAATCTCAATTCAAATTTCCAATGGAGTTGGCAACCATAATTACCCATTTAAATTTACCATAGTGCCAACTTAATCTATTTTATAATAGAATTAATAAAAATATAGTGTCAAATCTTTCATATGGATTTTTTTGTAAAAAAAAAAGATGAAAACATTTGCAGATATTTTTACTGGTCTTCCTTTATAAATATGCATTTCTTTAAACATAATTTAAAAGCAGTGTAAGGGAAGTAACCAAAACGTTGTATTTGGATTACCTCCCTTACACTGTTTTAGATTATCTTTATTGTTCATTAACCATTACTTTATACATAATTTAAAAGCAGTGTAAGGGAGATAATTTCAATGATGTATTTGATTTATCTCCCTTACACTGCTTTAAATTATGTTTTGTACTAAAGTATTTGTCCATTAACCAGGACAACCTTGTTTTTCCCCCTTTTTTGCCCCTAATTCCTAAACGGTTTGAGCCATAACCCCCCAAAGCAAATCCTAACCATCCCTTTGTGGTATGGAAACTTGTAGTATAATTTCAGAGAGATCCATACACCGTTCCACAGTTATTGTCTGGAAACTAGAAAATGCTCATTTTTGGCCCCTTTTTGGCCCCTAATTCCTTAACTGTTGGTACCATAACCCCCAAAATCAATCCCAACCTTCCTTTTGTGGTATTTAACCTTATGGTCAAATTTCAAAAAGATCCATTCACTTAAACTAAAGTTAGAGTGCGAAAACCAATATGTATTCGGACGACGACGCCAACGTCATACCAATATACGACCACAAAATTTTTTTGCGGTCGTATAAAAATCATTAAAGGGAGATAACTCAAATAAGGAGTCGTCCAACTATTTCCTCCATTTGTCTTTATTGTAGATTGTGTCTTACAGATCATTTACACTTAACTGCGACCAAGCTTAGCGAAAGGCCGTGGGACATAATCAGTCAAACAAACTTCATTACATCAACTTGTTAAGGAACGAGTGTTGTCATTGGTCAATTCAAACCTTTGACCTCAAATAAACTCAGTTAAGCCCCGCCCAAGCACACCTGCTAAAAAAACAAAACATGCGTCCTATAAACGATCGAAAGTTGAATGATCACGTACATGATTGTGTACTTGATTATCTCAAGGCGTTCTAAATTATATACATGTGCATGTGAAATTTATTTATATCATAATTGTGTGCAAAAGTTCTAAAAAGGTCCTTTTGTTCTAAATTTGATTTTTTTTTTAACAAAGACTCTTAACAGTTTTCACGGCGAAATGATATATTGAATCCAACTGTATCCTGTCAAGTAGTTCTGGACTAACCCCGTGCACCTTTTCTATCTGTTAAGTTACATCATCATGTGTTTGCAATGAGACCAAATTAGGAAATATGAATGAAATGACTCGAGACTGTAATTAACTACACACATAATTAACGAAATTACATGATATACATATTGCACGATTTTACGGTAAATAAGGTTTTGTGTTCAATATTCATATTCTATAGTAAGTATATCACACCCTCCTCCTCGACCATTAAACTAATCTCGCGTATACTAAACCTTTTTTTATTAATATGAACTACATAGAAATATGAAAATAGAATCACAAATGACAACTTAAATTTACATGGCTTTTAAAAACAGGGAAGTTTTTGGATTTTATGGATTTGACTTTGGATAGTGTGATTTTTTTCTTCATATTCAGTTTACTCTGGGACATAATATATTTTAGTGTAATATTTTAGTATAATAGTCCAAGGTTTACTTGATTTTGAAAAAAAATCCCGAATTCTAAGTTAATTCGGAGCAGGTAACCATGCTTTCTTTAAAGAAGAATGGAGATAGCAAAACACTGGCCACAATGGAAGGAAATGTACTTTACACATGTTTGTAACTCCGGCGATGTAGGTGATGAAAATATTTACATAGATTTACATAGAAAACCAAGTATTATGTCAAAGAACTCTCTGATTGGTAATGAAAAACAATCACTTGAACATGTTTAAAGAAAGTGTGTTCATTCATTAAATGTATTAATAAAAAGGTGAAAGGTGGGTCCTTCCTTGTACATTTATTTTGTCATCCTTAATTTCTTTATATTTCTTTTAACAGTTTATTGTACATGTATGTATTATTTTGTACTTCATTTAAAATAAGCATACTAAATTTGTTAACCTTCAATTTTATGTTTCTCAGTAAATTCATTCAATTCCAAGTTTTGGGAGAAATGTGCAACCCATCATGAATTA